TTTTAAACATCGTAGGAAAGCAATAAACCACGGGAGATAAGTACATGAGAAGAAACTGTTAGCATAGAACCTACGGTTACATCTGATCATTTCAACAGTAAAATGATGAGACATTGCTACTAATCTTGTACTTTGCTTAAATTCGTACAGTCTAGGTTTAGAAGAGGAAAACTTACCATGAGTATAATTTATAGAAAAGATATGGGGAGCCTACATTACGGTAAAGTGACTAGAGCCGATATGCCAGGTCATGGCCGATAAGATTACAGATTCGTCTTTGCATTTTGTCAAGAATCTCTATAAATACATAACAGACGTACCAAAACCATATATGACAGTAATATTCACTGTAAGGATGAATGGTGCAGGATAGATATTGGTTTGAAATCATGGGTATTATAGCATGGAAAATCTTAAGATGGTGAAACCATAAAAGAAGTCGAAGCAGTGTTACCATATTTTTTTCTTTTATGCTTAAAATTCGTCAATATTTATCTCCTTTAATAAACAGATTTTTTCTGTAGTAAACTTCATCCTCATTAGAGCAATGAGCATTTTTAATGATGCTACATTTTATCGGTTTCATTTTCTTTAACTTCTCATATGTATCTCGATAGGGTGGTGCTATTTCCATACCTTTTCTACGTTGAATGATGCTTTATCATTGCAGGACCTCTGTTTAAACAGCTTTTCGCTGAGCGGACGACGAATTTAACACTGCTTTTATAGATTATGTTTTTTGAACAGACTGTTACCATTTAAGGGACATTCATTTGTTTTCCTGCAGTTGCATCTTTTTTCTTTCTTCGACATTTCCGTTCAATACCGTATTGTTATTCGTTTTATTAGTCTTTCAGAGTCGGGGATGCCGCTATAGCTCATCCTGTAATGTGTTTCTGTTAACAACTTTCGCAGTGCAGATTTTTTTGGGAAATGTCGGTTCATCTGTGTAAAAAAAAGCAGCCTGTAAATTTTAGGTAAAACCGTTAGATTGAATGGGAATGTCTCCCAGATCATTTTTTTCATTTCGCTTTTAATACTTTTCTTCTGCCAATGGATTTTTATGCTCCATGAATATTAAATTCGTGTTATGCCGCTCACGTCTCAAAGCCATTTTATATTTCTTTTTAAATTCGTCAAATACATTGATATTTAAGGCACCTCACAGCAACCTGCATTCTATAATCGTATTGATGACAGATTTGGGGAATGATGTCGGATTTAGTATTGATTTTGGCCATAATATTATTCTGTTTCGTGAATGATGTTACAATTGTGCTATTTACGTCGAACCTTATATCTAGCCCTTCAAATTTGTCACGGCCTTTATAAACCGGATCCCTTAAAAATTTTAAGGAGTCTCTTTTTTATTCTATCAATTTTTCTTCCCGCTATTACTGGCAAATACAGTTTATAGACGATTGTCAGTTTTATTGAAAATCTCACTTAATTCCTCTGCCTGCCTGTTACGATAAATCTTCCAAGATAAAAAAAAAAAAGTAAACGCATGCAGTATTAACAAGGAAAGTGCTTCATCACAGAAATTACCATTCCTATCGCCTAACTGAATATTTCTATTTTCCAAGTGAATATAATTATATTGGCATCTCGTATAAAATGGAGTCAAATTTAGAGCTTGTATTTTACCCATATTTCTAAAAAATTTCCTAGATGTTAAACGGTTTTATTCGTAGCCATATTAATGAAAATAGATATCACGCATTATGAAATGCATAAAGTACGACAATCATTTTTATACATTCTTTTTTTTTATAGATACAAATATTTAAGTAAATGCTCTGTTTATAATAAACAGTATTAACAACAATTACCGGCGTAACTCTCCGAAAAATTCTCATAAAGAATATGCATCATCCGACAGGAATCGAACCTGTATCTTATACGGAACCGTCATATAACTTGACGTGCTTTGATCGATTTCGCAACAGAGAAGCGTTTCGGTTAGCAAGGTCGATTTTACTCTTTTTAAATTACAATCTTCCATGATTCTCTCACGTACATTCATATCTGCTCGATGCGTATACAAATGTAAACAAGTGACGTCACACATTATGAAATGGACAAAGTCCGTCAATTATTTTAAAATATTTTTATGCTTATACTTTCTTTTTTATATAGATACAAATAATAAAGTAAATGCTCTGTTTATAATAAACAATATTAACAACATTTATCGGCCTGAATGTCCGAGAAATTTTCATGGATACGCATCGAACAATTTTACATGATTTTCTCACGTACATTCATATGTACGTGAGAAAATCATGGAAAATTGTAGTTTGAAAACAGTAAGATCGACCTTGCTAATCGAATTGCTCATCTGTGGCGAAATCGGTAAAAAGCACGTTAAGCTATATGACGGTTCCGTATAGGATACAGGTTCGATACCTGTCGGAGGACGAGCATTTTCTATAATTTCTCGGAAATTCAGGCTGGTAAATGTTGTTAATACTGTTTTTTTTTTTATAAACAGCAATGAATCTTTTAATAAAAAATTATTATCAGCAATAAATTTTTGGAAAAGATCTTACCAGCAATACATTTTGAAACAAAAATATTACCAGTAATAAAAATCTTGTCGGCATTAAATAATGCAATGAGGTTGATATGCCGTAAGCCAAACGAAACGAAACGAAACGAAACGAAACCAAACCACAAAAAGTATAACTATTTATGGTGAATGCCGAATTATTGTTTTTACGCTGAAAACTCATTGAAAAAGAAATAAGAGACATTATAATTGATGCAGCCTTTGCATATAAATAAATCCTTTGTTCAGGGGAGATAATTCAAGTAAAATGTTACAGACTTTTGGTAGTTAAAGAAAAATAACTCCAGTACAAAGAAAACATTCAAAATATTAATTTAAACAAAAAAAGAGAAGAGAAATGTAGCCTATTATAGCATAAATACTTTGTTATCCGTTGTTTCTATGAAATAAGTCTTATGGCCGACTCACTTAACTGAAACGTTTATCCCTGGGAGACAGGCTCAATGACAAAGACAGTCCATACGTAACTGACAGCGTCCCGTGAAGAAATGAGACGTCGCCCACGTTCTTAGTGGCCTTGATACGACTGCAGCATTTGAAGGAATATGAAATATAATATATTTAATAAGACGATGGTGCCAAATTTCTGAGGACCAGAAACGGAATGACAGCAGGCGACATACGCGAAAGGTTCAAAACTGTGTGGGAGTTACGTCCACAAGGTCTGTACCCAAAATATGTCTGCTTAAAAATTATAATATCGGATTAATCATTTCCAGCCCACATATCGTATACACACACAAAAAACACGTAAACACAGATATATATATATATATATATATATATATATATGTGTGTGTGTGTGTGTGTGTGTGTGTGTGTGTGTGTGTGTGTGTATGTATGTATATGCACATTTCATTAAAAACGACTGACAAGGTGCTTTTATTTAGTTTTTTTTTATACAATTTCTCATGTGATCTAATATTTTTTTTCTTTTCGGATGATAAATTATATAAAAACTGTCTGAATGTTCTTTTTATCCGAGCGCTTTCGGCTATACATTTAGCCATTTTCAAGGATTATATTTTAACTGTTAAAATAAGAAATAGTTTGTTGTATGTATGTTTTATAAAATGTTTCATTTTTTATTTCACAACAGAGTCAAGATATTATGTTCAAAATTAATATTAAGTGTTTGTTTTTATTAATAAGGCTTCCATTATTTTTAGCCTTTTTTTGCAAGTAGATGATGCTATTATATTAGTGTTGTCGACAATATAATAGCATCATCCAAATGCAAAAAAAGGTTAAAAATAACAGAAGCCTTATTAATAAAAACAAACAAACCAACACTTAATAATATTAACTTTGAACATGGACATAATATCTTGAGCGTGTATTGAAATAAAAAATGAACTATCTTATAAAACATACATACAAAAAACTATTTCTAATTTTAGCAGTTAAAATATAATCCTTGAAAATGGCTAAATGTATAGCCGAAAGCGCTCGGATAAAAAGAACATTCGGACAATTTTTATATAATTTATCATCCGGAAAGAAAAAATTGATAGATCGCATGAGAAATGATATAAAAAACTAAATAAAAGCACCTTGTCAGTCGTTTTAATGAAATGCATGAAAGAAGGATTTATGCCTATATATATAAATATATATATATATATATATATATATATATATATATATATATATATATATATATATATATAGTTTATGAAAAACTAGGTAATCCGTATGGGTAAACCTAAGGAGGATAAAATCCAGAGAGCTCAATGTAAATTCAGAGCAAATAATTTAAATAAAACAGACTACTTTAAGGTTCCATGTAATAAATTATTTCACCACAGCCCTTTTAAAAGGACTGCGGATCATCAGACTTTACTTCCAAACAAACATTTTTTTTGTTTGAAAGTAAAGTCTGATGATCCGCAGTCCTTTTAAAAGGGCTGTGGTGAAATAATTTATTACATGGAACCTTAAAGTGGCCTGGTTTTATTTAAAATAAATGTGTGTGTGTGTGTGTGTGTGTGTGCATTCTGAACATGGCTATTTCATTTTGAACTCGCTTAGTGCCAAAATAACTTTGATTAGTTCCAAATTGAACTTCAAATGGTATAAATATGTAACTTTTGTGACTCAGAAGACATCATCGTCATTTATTTAGATTAAGCTGATAAAATTTATATCAGTGAAGCACTTGTTAGGATCGAACTCGTTCCGTCAGTAGTGGTCTCCTCAGTTAGCTTCCTAACCACTGCCACAGGGCATGGCTCTAATCAGCCCGTGTTATTAATAGACTTCGATTTATTCGGCTAATTGAAGTGACCTTTGCTTTACAATATTGACCTTAATGATGTTATTTCTGTATCAAGATATTAAACGAACGCTATTTATCTTACACGTCTTAACACGCATCCTGTATGCAGCTTTGTAGAAAACTGTTTAGATATTTTCCAAACAGCGTGGCATGTGGCCATATCATGTTAAAAACCCCGTTCCCGTACGATCAACGAAGTTAAGCAACGTCGAGCATGGTCTGTATCCATATAGATGGGTGACCGTTTGTGAATACTAGGTGCTATAAGCTTGGATGTGCGGGTGGTGTAATGGATAACGGTTCGGAATTTTTAATCGGTAAGCCGAGTTCCAATCCCAGTTGAGTTCGTTATATTCACTTGAGAAAGGCATGAATCCAACTCTTCCTTCTAGCTATATCTTAATTAGTAGGACTTGTAGCAAAAATTCATTATCATCCCCCAGATATTCTTACAATTAAAACTGGCTTTAAATAAAATTCAAAAGGTTGATAAGCCGTAAAAAACCTGTCAATCTTAACAGAGATTTGTCTGGCTAAGGCACTTGGTGAGGAAGCACTTTCCCACTGCTTCATTATTTAGCAGCACTTTAGGAAACCTACTATTTATTTTCTGATTCTTCCATATATATATGTATATGTGTGTGTGTGTGTGTGTGTGTGTGTGTGTGTGTGTGTGTGTGTGTGTGTGTGTGTGTGTGTGTGTGTGTGTGTGTGATTTCTATATAAATCATTTATATATTGTTAAAAATCTAGGTGTGTCGTCAGTGTTGTTGCTCCTATGTCACTAGAAGTTTCGGGTCTAAATAAACAACAGACTTCTTCGATGGACGACCCGACCGAATATGATCAGTGTTCGGACTGCACCCACAATAAAATTTGCTACTAGCTTTAGGACGTGACGGCAACTAATCAAGTCTACACTTGGGGTATTCGATGTTATAGATCGGGTATGCTTGGTTGTACTGATCTTTCTACATGCGGCCAAGTCAGGGTGTTTTTTGGAAGAAGAGAAGAAAACAAAAATACATATATATATATATATATATATATATATATATATATATATATATATATATATATATATATATATATATATATACTAATAAAATAAAACGAATTATTATATTGGCTTGTCTTACGACTTACTTTTCTCTCTCTTCCTCCCCTTTTTAACTTTTTGTTAATATCTTATTTGTTTGGTCTTTTCTTTTTAGAACTTTCCTTTTATTTTTTTCTCTTAACTACACTTAATTTGCCATAGAGTGATTAAAATGACAGACTATTCATAAGAATAACCTCGTAAAATACAGTATGATAAATTTGGGATATTGATTAATACTTTAATAAAATATGCGCGGTACTTATTGGGAAGCGGTCAATGTCAGTGATAGAACTAACATACTTAGTTGTATTGATATTGAGTTTCCCGACCTTGACGATCGTGAAGGGCGTGAAACCCAGGGTCACAAACTTATATATATATATATATATATATATATATATATATATATATATATATATATATATAAAGTAAGGAAAATCTTGTTAATCCTTATGGATAGTCGCAAGAAGGATAAAATCCGGAGAACTCAATGTTAAGTCAGAGCGAAACCTTCTATGTTCACCTTAGATAAGCTTAATAATGCCGTTCAAATGAGTAAATTTTAAATTCATTTTTTCAACTTTGAAAGTGAAGTCCGAAGATCCAGAGGAAAATAAAACCTCTGGTGAATTAAATTATAACTAATGAAACCTTAAAGTGGTCTGTTTTTAAGGTTTTAGCTCCAAAATTAAATTATTTATTTCTTCCTAAATGGTCCCAAAAAGCCACGTGGTATGTCTTCTACTACGTCCGCGCGATATTTGGTCGGTATCTACCTAAACATAATGATGACTAATACAACAAACTTTCTGACTTGTATTCTACGATTTTATTGGTGTTTTAAGATTTAAGTATTTTCTTGAGCGTGATTCGTTTATAAATATTGTGTTTAATATTTTAGTGGACACGACAACGGCATATCAGTCACAATGGCTTATTTACTGCCGACAAGATTTTTATTGCTGGTATTTTTTTTCCAAAGATGTACTGCTTGTGATAATCTATTACAAGTAATATTTTTTCTTCAAAAATGTAACGCTGGTATTTTATCCGAAAATGTATTGCTGGTATTAAAACACTTTCATAGTGTTTTCGCCTCAGTTTGGGGGTTAACTATTGGCCCATAGATGGAACTCTGACAGTTGGTACCACCAGGGTGGACCTGGGAACACCAACAATTAAGAGGTGGTTCCACGCTCCTTAAAACCTCTTGATCAGAGTCCTTGCTGCCGGATGTAGTTTATCATCTTAACCAGGACTGACGGAATCCTTTTATATTGCTGGATGTAATAGAAACCTTGTAGCGGTCCTGTTTGTTAGCGGGTTGTTGAATTAGAAACGCGTGCTGTTTATTCCTGCTAGAAGGTCCACCACAGAAATGTAAAGAAAACAAACAAACCGATATATATATATATATATATATATATATATATATATATATATATATATATGTGTGTGTGTGTGTGTGTGTGTGTGTGTGTGTGCGTGTGTGTGTGTGTCAATAAATATATGTATTAAACAACAAATTTACAAGTGACAAAGACATCAACATTTGTGTTTGTGTGTGAACGTAAAGAGTTTGTATATTGGGGAAAGTTCGTTCCTACGTGTGTGTGTGTGTGTGTGTGTATGTATAATGTTTAGGGCATCTCCCACAAATGGGAAGACTCAATCTTCTGTGAGAGCTTACATTGTAGATGTGTTCGCTGAAATGAGGAAATGAAAAAGAGAATGAGGCAAGAAGTCGCCCAGTATTTATAGTGTAGGGAGAGCGACCCCTAGTGAACAATTAAGAAATTAAGGCGGAGCTAACTCTGACAAGCTTCGGGGCTAGCAGATGCGCAGAACTAGAATAAAAGAAAACATAAAGAGAATTAGTAACAGTCAAAGATTTATCTTTAATCTAATTTGTTATGAACGCTGAAAAACTCTTCAAACAGGTACTGGAATCATTGGTTGCAAATGTACAAATGTACAAATTAATTGAAACAAAACGCATAATTCCGTTATTATTTACTTTTTTTTCGTATTTTTTTCCAATGAAACATGGCCCAGTGCACATGTTAGTACTTTATATATCCATTCCAGTAAGTTGTTCCTTGCAGATTGGCCACAGATTCTCGATTGGATCAGGAGAGTTTCCGGGCCAGTCTATAGTACTTTGATTCGCTCACTGGTAAGTCTTGCGTAACGTCCATCGCAGACAATGGCTGTAGGACAACTAATCGATAGTCGAGACAATAGTGTCTGGGAGTGATAAAAATCAGATGCAATCAGGAATGACGCAATATTTTTCAAGGCCACACAAATTTCCACATACACCTCGTAAATATATTCATTATTGCACACCACTGCAAATGACCTAATCTGAGTGGGAAATAGAAATCGATTACACTCTCTCACTTCAGTGGGTTTAAAACTGACCGGATGTTGAACGAAAGGAAACTAAAGAGGTTGTTTCAGTTAATTTGCAGAAGGATGTAACACTTTTTATTCTTCTCACTCAAAACAATCCCCTTGCTTCTTAGTGACATTATCGCCTTTATTGGCTGGTGGTGAACGGGATAAAAAGAAATTTGCTGCATTTTTTATATCATATGTGATGTAAGATGTTTCTAGAATGCAAGCAAGGAATTAAGACACAGAAAAATAGCGATAGAAACAAAAAAAGAAAAATGACCTGCGATGGAATATTTATTCTCCAATGTAGCAATAAATGTCGGGCAATTTTATCATGGATAAAGAATAGGTGACACTTGACAGACGTGCGATTCTACTAGTGAATGAAGAAAGTATTTTGAATGGATTATAAGAGTGAGGAAGAAATCCGAAGAAAAAAAAATGAGGAAAAATACTTGCAATGAAAATGAGTCAGCTGACATATCTGGGACACATAATGAGGAAAGAGGGTCAAGAGAATGAAACACTCACAGGACATTGAGAAAGCAACAAGAGCAGAAAGAAAGAATAAAAAAACAACACCTTAAGGATTTTGTGCGGAAAAGAGGTTTGTTAAAAATTCAAAAGTGATTTTAACAAAAAAAACAGAAATGGGTGCAGAGCACACAACCTGAAATAACTTGTCACAAAGAAGAAGAAAAAGATGACGCTTTTGGAAAGAAGAAGAAGAAGAAGAAGACGAGGCTTTTGGAAAGAAGAAGAAGAAATAGAAGTAGAAGAAGAAGAAGACGAGGCTTTTGGAAAGAAAAAAAGAAGAAGAAGAGGCTTTTGGAAAGAAGAAGAAGAAATAGAAGAAGAAGACGAGGCTTTTGGAAAGAAGAAGAAGAAGAAGAAGAAGAAGAAGAAGAAGAAGAAGAAGAAGAAGAAGAAGAAGACTAGAATTTTGAGTATTCACTGACGAGTACATAAGCTTATTTTTTCACTTTAAAATCGAATTCATTTTATCAGTTATATGAAATATTATATTAACTTCAGTTATAAGCAATTTCCGCTTTTGGGGATCACCTCCGATGGCAAATGTATCATTCTAACTATCCATTACTGAAATGTATCAAAGCAGGTGATGTTAAATATGTATGTCACACCCGACAATATTCAAAGTAAAACATTGACAAGACTGAATCTCAGCAACCAACCCTAAAAGATGAACTCCATGGCAGTGAAAATAATGCTATTCACGTGGTGGGATACTTGCATTATTATTTATTTAGTTCCGTAAGGGAACACTAAATGTACATTTATAAGTTTAGCAACTGCGAAGTGTCCATAAATTTTTTGGTTTAAAAGCGCCCTACGTACGTCAATAAAGAAAAGATGCTGTTCATTATGACGAAGCAGGGTCGCATAATGCAAAGATAACACAGAAAAGTATTCGGGAACTTAGTTTCTTTCACTCGAATAGTCATATTCACCTCACTTGGTATGAACCGATTATTTTGTTTTCTGTAAAACGATTTGAGGGGAATAACATTCTCTAATGAAAACCAGATTCAAAAGTTGGTGGAAAACATTTTCACATCAAAATCTGTAGAAGTTTCCTCAAAATATATCCAAGAACACTCTACAACAACTGATTGCAAATAAAGGAATGTAATTGAAAGTAATTATGGCCCTGCCAAATATATCGCTACTATCCTGAACCTTCAAAATTCTATATCAGTCTGTTATTTTCCGATTCTTACACTGCTGTCCCCATTATATACA